GTTAATGCAAGCACGACTCCTGCCAATTATTTTTAAAGAAAAGGACGGCTGAAAATTACATCTATAAAAATTCGGAGAGGAAAATCTTAAAAGGACTGCGAGTGAACATTTTCTGATGGAAAAGCTGGTGAAAACTGCATCAATCCATCGTGATCAACTCGATTATATAGCAATGTAGATCGTGTAAACAGAATATACGTTCGTCACACATACACTTCACACGTACATGCACAAGTACACACGTTTGTTCATATCCATACACACAGCTTAAGCCGTTTCACATTGTCTCTTTCTCTCTCTTTCTCTCTGTCTTTCTTTTTATATCGTTCTCCCTGTCCCTCCCCCTCAATTCATTCTCTCTCTCTCTCTCTCTCTCTTTCTTTCTCTTTATTTATCTACCAAACTCCAATATCACTCTATCTATATACTCTCTATCTCTCTTTTTATTTATCTACCAAACTCTATATCAGTCTATCTATCTATTATCTCTCTCTCTCTCAATCTCTCTCTCTCTCTCTCTCTCCCTCTCTTTCTCTTTCTCTTTCCATCTACCCTTTTTCTCTCACTCTCCCTCTTCCTCTCCCTTTTCTCTCCTTTCTCTCTCTCTCCTTCTTCCCTCTTCATCTCCTCCTTTTCTCGACATTTTCTTCTTTTTATAATTGTATAATTTCTTTGTTTTCCTCTTAGCCATGACTGTTTCTCTTCTCTCTCTCTCTCTCTCTCTCTCTCTCTCTCTCTCTCTCTCCCTTACCTTTTCTGTTTAGTTTTTGGTCTTTTATTATTTTATAATTTTCTCTCTCCCTTATTTTATCGGTAGTAAATTTAATTGATTTCCCTGTCTTTATAATTTCCATTTTATTATTTTATTCCTTTGTAATTGTAAAAAAAATCCATACAATCGTTGTATTTCACCATCCAATGTTAAACACAATGAAATGTCTACTCTATTTTTTTGTACTATACAGTAGTTTCAGAGTAAATATCACTTAACAAAGAATATCATTGATGTCCGTTTTGTGAAATAGGTTAACGTAAGGTAAAAGATATATATGTATATATTCTATGTATCAATGTGTATTAGGTAAATTAGGTAAATGTATTGCGTAGTTAGATCTGGAATGTATAATTAAGGCATTTTAGAATCATCGAGGTACACTTCAAACTAGGCATGGAAAAAACACCTTAAATTGGCCATGATATGCATAAGAATATTGTGTGGTGTTGCAAAGCGTGTAACAGAAATAGTGTTAGTAGTGCACCATGTCATTTCAACATTGGATTAGTCCTGGAATGAGAAACAATAGAGTAGCTTCTCTGGCAACAGATTTCCCAGTGGCATTGGCTGCTTTTTTAATAGCATAGAAACTTTAAGATACAAAATTTTTTTGCCTATATTTTTTAGCAAAGTAGAACCTCCCCCTCAATCACCGAACCTTTTCGGCAAGCAAATCTATGCTCACCAGCAGAGGGATATGAGAGCTGTAGCAGCTACCGAGGTTTCAGATCCCCAGAACCTGTTATGGCTCCTCACACAGTAGCGACTTAGTTTCAATAGTGCTGATATAGTTAGCGGCATGTTCTCCAGCAGGGCGGCTTGGGAAGTGCTCAACACCCACCCACCAAACAGCACCCGGGACCTCTCGGCATTCGACCCCAAGGCCCGCAAGGACAGATAAGGCCCAACAGCACGCCCAGCCCACAGGTTCTGTCTGGAACGCACTCGAGCTCGAGTAGCCCCCAAGCTACCGCAAAGCAGGGAGAGCTGCCAGGGTCCCGTGGCCCCAGTTCTCCCTTCGCCTCTCATAACACACGCTCGCCGTTGCCTTCGGGCCCGATCACGAGTAGTCCTTTCCCGCTGCGAGGCACGCCAAGCGGGCCCGTGAACGGCGTCCAATATAACGATTCAAAGTCGCACGGACGCCAGTCGCCCATGCGGTCCCAAGGGGCCTCCGACTCGGCGAACAGCCCCAGCAGCTCCTCCGGCGCTGTGTCGCCCTCTCCCCAACCAGGGGAGGGGCAGCGGCCCGCGGAGGAGCACCAAAGTCAGCCTGGCACTTCCCAGCCCGCGATGAGTGACGTGGGTCCGTCTTCCTCTCAGGGTTCATCCTCCAAGCAGCCGGACGAGGCGGAGAGGGTAGGACCTTCCAAACTGTTGATGTAGTTGCCATGTTACCGTGATTTTTACGTCTCCCATTTCTATGTAGTCTACCGGCTTGAAGCATGTTTAAATTCGTACTGAAATGTTTTTTTATAGAATGACGTCATAGACATTTGGAGTGGTATATTCTCCCTATGCACTTCTGGCCTCCGCTCTTCTCCCACTGTTTACCTAGAAAATACTTTTCTATACGTGGCTGTTCCATTTTCCTCTCCGGTGCACTCGTCCTGTCTAAGCGTCTGCTCGCCTTCCAGGGAATGTTCGGACCTCAAGCTGAGATGCGGCCGGGTCCTCAGGGCTACCAACCGGACACGCTGCACCAGGGCCAGCTTGGCGCTGACC